GACGGAAATAAAAAGGTTCTATGAAGAGAAACGACAATGGAGAGACAAGTTATTCAACTCCTCTGGGACACAGCTAAAGCAGTTCTGAGAGGAAAGTTTATCTCCATAACGCCTATAACCAAAAGACAAGAAGATCACAAATAGACAATCTAATGAAACGACTCAAGAGCTGGAAAAAGGAGAACAGACCAACCCCAAACCCAGCAGAGGTGATCAACAGATCAAATCAGAACTAAACGAAATTGAAAACAGGGAAGCTATTCAGGGAGTTAATTACAAAAAGTTGGTTTTTGAAAATAAAACAAAATTGACACACCATTGACTAAGCTAACGAAAAGCAGAAAAGAGAAATCTCTAATAAGCTCATCAGGAATAAAAAAGGAGATATCACAACTGATCCCAAGAGATACAAGATACAATTTATGAATACTACAAAAATCTTTATGCACACAAACTGGAAAATGTGGAGGAAATGGACAAATTTCTTAGAAAAACACACAGCCTCCCTAGGTCAACCAGGAAGAAATAGATTCCCTGAACAGACATCTCAACAGCTGAAATAGAAACAGCAATTAAAAATCTCCCTAAAAAGAAAAGTCCCGGTCAGATGGCTTCACACCGAATTTTACCAAACTTACAAAGAAGAACTAGTACCTATTTTGCAGAAAAGTTCCACAACATTGAGAAGAACAGAAACTCCCTGACACCTTTTATGAAGCGAATTATTACTCTGATACCAAAACCAGGAAAGGATGCAACAAAAAAAGAAAGCTACAGACCAATATCCCTAATGAATATAGATGCAAAAATTTCAAAAATCTTAGCTAATCGAATCCAGACATTATCAAAAAAATAATCCACACGACCAAGTGGGCTTCATCCCAGGGGATGCAGGGATGGCGTCAACATACGTAAATCTATAAATGCAATTCACTACATAAACAGGAGCAAAAACAAAGACACATGATTCTTTCAATAGATGCAGAAAAAGCTTTTACAAAATTCAACCACCCTTTCATGATACGAACACTGAAGAAAATAGGCATAGAAGGGATACTTAAAATGATACAAGCCATATTATGACAGACCCATAGCAACATCATACTGAATGGGGGAAAAATTGAAATCATTCCCACTTAGAACTGGAACCAGACAAGGCTGCCCACTATCTCCTTCTGTTAACATAGTACTGGAAGTCTTGGCTACAGCAATCAGACAGGAAAATGGAATCAAAGATATCCAAATAGGGGCAGAAGAGATCAAACTTTCACTGTTTGCTGATGATATGATATTGTATCTAGAAAACCCCAAAGATTCAACCAAGAAACTCCTGGAACTGATCAATGAATTTAGTAAAGTCTCAGGATACAAAATCAATACACAGAAATCAGAGGCATTCATATATGCCAACAACAATCTATTTGAGAACCAAATCAAAGACTCATTCCCTTCACAATACAACAAAGAAATTAAAGTACCTAGGAATATACTTAACCAAGGACGTAAAAGACCTCTACAGGGAGAACTATGAAACACTGAGGAAGGAAATAGCAGAGGATGGAAACAGATGGAAATCCATACCATGCTCGTGGATCGGCAGACTCAATATCATCAAAATGTCTAACTACCCAAACTGATTACAGATTCAATGCAATACCTATTAAATCCATCAGCATTCTTCACAGATATAGAAAAAATAATTTACGCTTCGTTTGGAAACAAAGAAGACCCGAATATCAAGAGCAATTCTAGGCAACAAAAAAAAAATGGGAGGCATTAATATGCCAGATATCAAACTATACTACAAAGCTGTAGGATTAAAACAATATGGTATTGGCACAAAGATAGGAATATTGACCAGTGGAACAGATGTGAGAATCCTGATATAAAACCATCCTCATATAGCCATCTAATCTTTGAACAAAGCAGACAAAAACATACGCTGGGGAAAAGAATCCCTCTTCAATAAATGATGCTGGGAAAAACTGGATAGCCACCTGTAGAAGGCTAAAACAGGACCCACACCTTTCACCTCTCACAAAAACCAACTCACGCTGGATAACAGACTTAAACCTAAGGTATGAAACTATTAGAACACTACAGGAAAAAGTTGGAAACACTCTCCTAGACATTGGCCTGGGCCAAGAGTTTATGAAGAAGTACCCAAAGGCAATCACAGCAGCAACAAAAATAAATAAATGGGACATGATCAAACTATAAAGCTTCTGCACAGCCAAAGAAATAGTCATGAAAGTAAACAGACAACCTACAGAATGGGAGAAAATTTTTGCATCCTTTGCATCCGATAAGGGACTGATAACTAGAATATACTTAGAACTCACCAAAAATCAGGAAGAAAAATCAAATAACCCCATTAAAAAGTGGGCAAAAGACTTGAACAGAAATTTTTCTAAAGAAGACAGAAGAATGGCCAACAAACATATGAAGAAATGCTCAACATCTCTAATCTCAGTGAAATGCAAATCAAAACCACAATGAGATATCACTTAACCTCAGTGAGAATGGCCTTTATCAAAAAATCTCCTAACAATAAATGCTAGCGTGGTTGCGGAGAGAGAGGAACACTCCTACACTGCTGGTGGGACTGCAAACTAGTTCAACCTCTGTGGAAAGCAATATGGAGATACCTTAAAGCAATACAGGTGAATCTACCATTTGATCCAGCAATCTCATTGCTGGGCATCTACACAAATGATCCAATGACACTCTACAAAAAAGACACCTGCACTCGAATGTTTATAGCAGTACAATTCATAATTGCAAGGCTGTGGAAACAGCCCAAGTGCCCATCAATCCAAGAATGGATTAATAAAATGTGGTATATGTATACCATGGAATACTATTCAGCTCTAAGAAACAATGGTGATATAGCACATCTTATATTTTCCTGGTTAGAGCTGGAACCCATACTACTAAGTGAAGTATCCCAAGAATGGAAAAACAAGCACCAGATATATTCTCCAGACAACTGGTATTAACTGAGTAGCACCTAAGTGGTCACATAGGTACTACAGTAATAGGGTATTGGGCACTGGGGGGGGGGGGGCGGGTATATACATACATAATGAGTGAGATGTGCACCATCTGGGGGATGGTCATGATGGAGACTCAAACTTTTGGGGGGAGGGGGAGAAATGGGCATTTATTGAAACCTTAAAATCTGTACCCCCATAATATGCCGAAAAAAAAAAAAGAATAATAAATACAAAAAAAAAAAAAAAGCAAAATACCTATCCTTGTTCAAGGGTATTATTAGCCCATGAGAGGTTTTATTTATATAGTTTTAAGAAACACAATTTGCTAAACATGAGCTTGTGGTATCAGTCATCCTGTTTTCAAATTGTTATTATGATAGACCTCCATTTTATTAAAATGGTCTCTCTCCTTTAGGAGAGCTTTTGCTGTAGTAATAAAAGGTGAGAAATTGTTTTCCATTTCAAATACTTAGTTTTTGCTATTGTGGTCTGTGAATTCTAGCTGCCAGGCTGCCCACTTCTAGACCTTACCTTGTGCCCTATAATAGTTCTTTCATTTCAAGGAAAGGATTTTTCGCCAGTTTCTTCCCTGGCCCCTAAAATGTCAGTAGAGCTTTTTGCCAAGTCCATTACATTTTAAGACGTTTTATATCGCACTAAAATACAATTAACACCAGTGATTTTTTTTAAAAAATCAATAGTTATCTTACTGTTTTAACTGTTTACATGTATGGAAACTAGAGCTGTGTTCTACAACATTTTTATTGACTAGAATTTATAGTAAACAGAGCAATAAAGCCCTCTCCCTGTGGGTCATCTGATAGGACGCGGAGTTAGCAAGATGTTGCAGTGAGATCTGATGTGATGACAGTCTGTGTTGCATTTTATCCCTCCTGCCCTTCTGCCTTCTTTGGGATCCTAGCAGGTCTTTCTTTCCGTGGCACTCACCTGGCCACTCATGCTGGCAGACCTGGCCTGCACACCGTCTCTTAGTCCTTGACTCTGTGTTCCTAGCACGTTGCAGCCATTCAGATGTGACTCTGCTGCCCCATGTGGAGTACCTGGAAGGATTAGCCTCAGAAGCACCTGACTTCTGTCTCACTAGACCTCTGGGCCTTCCAGGTACTAACTATGGTCAAAGTCAAAGCTGACAGCTTTTTTGATTTTTGATTTTTGTGTCTTGTTTAAGAATTCCCTAGCCAGCCCCACCCAGAAGTCTTAATGCTATTTTACTATATTTTCTTCTTAAGGTCTTAAAATTCTGAAGTTTCGTCATCGATGGCTAAGTGGGTAAACCATTTTGAATTATGTGTCTGTGTCTGTGTGCGTGACTAGAGTGATGTGGGGTATTTCCCCCGTGTGGATAACTAGTTTCCTCAGCATGTTGAAGTGACTTGTCCACTCTTTCCCTTCTGATCCTCATTGCCAGACTTGCCACATTCACAGTTTCCATACTGTGTGAGCGTCTTCCTGGACATTTCATTCTCTTCTGTTGGTTTCCCCAAAGTGCCAACATTACTTTACCTTATTGATCATTGCTTTAGAATAAATTGATATCTAGCAAAGTAAGCTCTCCTATCTCTTCAACAATACTTGGCTATTCTTAGTTCGTTGTTCTGGCAAATATATTTTAGAATCAGCTTTTCAATTAAAAAAACTGTGTGTTGTGACTATAATGATAATAGACAAAAATATTACAAGGAAATTTCTTTAATTACTTTGTAAAATTTGAATTGTTTTATAATCCAGCACTTATCTATAGTTCCTATAGTCTTGGCTACATAACAACATGTCTATTGATAATGACATAGCGGAAATTCGAGTACAAAATTAATTTGACTACTCTTGTACTGCATTAATTTTATTTACATATTCCTAATTGGTTTATGTGTTCTTTTTCTAGATCATTTATATATTTGTGTCAGTCAGGGTTCAATGCAGGAAAGAGAGATCACTTTAGGCATTATTAGCAGCAAGAATTTAATACAGAGAATGAGTACTTACAAAATCATTAGATGTGTGGAAGGAGCAGGTTGTAGACTGGGTCTCTAATATGATTGCAGAATAATACAAAACTGCTACCACTAAGGTACCATCAGAGCTATGCCTGGTTCAAGAACCTGCTACCTCTCTGCTGCCACTGCTCCTGGGTAGCCAAAGAGGTATAATGCAGGGATTATGAGATCAGATCAAGTAATCACTGCTGCTGCCACCACCACTACTTTTCCTCATCACCAAGGAAGCTGGAGATTGGATATTGTGTCACTGCTGCAGAGAAAGCTCAGATTTTCACGGCCATGTTTGTCAGCATAGACAACCAAAAAGGGACAGGAAAAAGTCTTCTATCTCACTTAGGGCTTCTAAATCTTACACTAATGCATTAAATTGGTAAGACTCAATTTGCATCCAGAAGAGAATCTGAGAAATGAGAGTGTTGGCTTCCAAGCCTCTCCAAGCAGAATGAAGGCTAACTGAGCCCTGAGCCCATCCACATTATCCAGCATTTTTTTTTTTTTGCTTATAACCAACAGACATTGACTCAGCTAATATAAGCAAAAAGCAATTTATTGGAAAGAGAGAGTAATTACACAGCCCAGAAAGAAACATTCACAACTTGGAAAAGGTGGAAACCAAGGCTCTGAGGACTTAGGTAACATAAGCTAAGAACTCCTCTCTCTCTCTCTCTCTCTCTCTCTCTCTCTCTCTCTCTCTCTCTCATGCTCTATCATTGGATGGCTCAACTCTATCTGCTTCATGTCTGTGCACAGGATTCCATCCCTAGGTGTCGCTGCTTAAGGTACAGATTTCTAGGAGTAAGACTCTCATTGTCCTCATTAGGGTCAAATGATCTATGCAGTGGTGGGAAGGCAGGCTCCCTAGTTGACAGTTCCCCAGATCTCCTTCAGTCAAGTAGTAGTAGATATTCCAAGAAAAGAGTCCTGGGAAAACAAAAGATACCAGTTGTCTGTTCCAGTAAGCTGGTCTGATCCCGCCATTGCCTAGAAGTCACCTACCTGTCAGAATAGATGCTTACACCACAAGCTTTTGTAAAACACTCAATGTAGAGCATAATTAGTGCTGTCAAAATTATAGGCTTGAATATTTCAGTATAGATCTTTTAGTTATATAGGTAAGTTTTGCTACATGTTTCAAATATCTCATTTTGCAGGCATAGAAAATGAGGTCCCTTAAGGAGTATAAAATGTTTCCTTTGCATAAAGTCACACAAATGGGTATAGAACCAGATAGAGAGGACAGACAGTCCTCTGGAAATGTTCCTATACATATCTTAGTGGTTAAAGTGCTCTTTGTCTTTAACTGGTTTTTTTATATAGGAGGCATATTTTGGATTCTCGTCCATATATAGCACTTCGGCACAGTACATTTTACAGAGCAACCTGACTTACACCTACCTGCCTTATCTGATGTTTGCATCAGTAAGGCCCTTAGCTGTCACAATGACAGTGCAATTCAAAATTAATGACACATGGAAATTCACAGATCCCCAGGAAAGAAATTTTCTTCCACACTGCTCAGAAAAAAGCTCCATGCCAATATACTGAAAAGAAATTTACTGCCAACCATGGGATTGTGACCCACAACAGAATGTATTACAATGTTATGTTACTAGCAAGAATCTTTTAAAATAAATTATAATGAAGCCCCCACTGCAGATAAAACCACACCTTGAAAGGTCAAAACCATTACCAATATGAGTTTCTCGTTTGCTTGGCCATGAGTTGGGGAACAACTGAGGAGGATTGTTAGTTTCTAGGTCTCTCTGTCTCTTGCCTGTCTCTGTCTTCCTCACTCTCATTCTCCCTTTCTCTCTGTCCTCTATAATAATGGAGTTACTACTCACAGTTCTTTCTCCTGGTATTGTTCACCCTTTCACCAAGGTCTCCTGTTTTCCTGTCTCAACAACCCTGAGGGCATGCAGCTTCCTTTGACCCATAGGATGTTAACAGATGTCATGCATACAGAGGCTTGAAGAGCCTTTGTGCAGTGGAGCTTGCTCTCTCGCACCTGGGCATTTGCCTTAAGAAGAACAACATGCCCCCAGGTGGCTGCCTGGTCTGAACAAGATGGGCAACAGAGCCTCCTGGCTGACCTGCAGACCTGCATCTTGAAGCAGAGAAGCCCAGTAGATCCCAGCCAGCCCAGGGCAACTGACCTCCAGCTGATCTGCATATCATGCATACACATGAACAAGCCTAGCAAAAATCAGCAGGGCTGACCCAGAGATGCATGATAAAATATGTACTTATTGCTGTATGCCACTGAGAGTTTGTGATTGTTATCATTGTTATTGCAGTAGTGGCTAACAGGTTCACTCCTAATTCTGTTTCTTTCTCTTTTTCCCTTTCATTCTCTGCCTCTCTCACTCCATCTTCTTCATCCTTGAGAAACCTCCCTCCTAAGCTGATGCTGGTCCCTTAAGTTTATCAGCCACCTGCTAAATAGTAATGTCAGTCCCAAGTAAGCTACTTTTAAAGTTTATCACAACAAAGCAAAGGAGTCTGTACAAAAGGACATGAGTAGACAATGCTTGTTAGCAAGGCCTTTTCTCTAAGCGGCATTTTGGAAATGTTTTTATTATTTACTGGTGTGTGTCACTATCATTATGACTACTTTTCACTGTAACACCATATACTCTAAATTGAAGCATAGTAAAAATGATATTGAGGGTAACTGACTTGCAAGCCATTCATCATCCCATAGTATGGGATTTCTTCAAGAGAAAATAAATAGCGAAAGGAATCTCAATTTCTCCCCACCCTACTCCCCACTCCAACCTCCACAAAATATATAACATATTTTCTTTCTTTTAACTCCTGTTTGCCTTTTTCTTTTCTTTTTTCCCAGCCTGTCTATTATAGAGTGACAGACCAGGGGCAGAGTCACCATTCTTTTTTCTTCTTTACCGTGTAAATGTCAGTTGAAAATACGCCAAGTCCCAGATACAATATAATCATAATACTACCACTGTGTTTCTGGATTAATTAATCATAATGAATGAAATTTTTCTTGATTTTGTATGCCAAGCCTGGAAGCATAATTCAATTTCATCTTTGACTTCTGTAGCCTGAAGCAACCACTTAAACTCAGCTGTCATAAGGCTTTTGGAGGGAGATCAAAAAACACTAAATAGGAAAAAAGATCCAACTTGCAAAAAGGCATAAGGGGAAACAGAAAAGTATTCTTTAAATATATCAAAGCAGGGTATATACATATGTATTAAAAGAAGGGCACATCAAAATATTGTTTGCTTCCAAATATGAGAATAAAATCTGATGACACTGTCTTTAAAAATCCTTATGTTTTTTCCTCCCAAACCATCTGGAAACAGTGTTAGACATGGGCAAAACGCACATTGGAATAGTGAATAGGAACATTGAAAGCCTCAGTGAAAACTAAACTAATTTGAAATCTATCAGAACTTGTTTTCCTTTTTAGAACCAGGAAATTATTATGAAAACCTCTAAGTTACTCTTTTTGAAATCATGTAACTGTAACATGGACTTTTAGTTTAGTTTGTTTGTTTCTAATGTAAATCCCATCCCCTTGGGGACACCTTACGTAAGAAGTCAAATTGCTTGTGGTTCAATTTAGAATATATGACATTTTATTGCTTTCTTATACTGTGAAAATAAAGATGAACATAAAGAAAAAATAAGACTCCTCTGTAACCTGAGCCCTCAGAGATATTTCCAGCTGATATTTTAGTATATATTAATTTAACTTCATTCGTTGTTCCCTGGGTTGTGTGTACATAACATACACTGTATTTACCTTTAACAAGATAGAAGGAACATCCTTCCTTGTCATAATGTTCAACTCTCTCTTTTCAAAGGCCAAAAATTTCAATGATTTTCATAGGACTGCAAACTGAGATAGGCCCAGAAAGACCATATTTATATTGATGGGATCTAGCAGAGAAGAGGGTACTGGAATGGCCTCAGAGGTGAGCTAGTTTGTGCTTGCACTTTGACTGAGAATGTATCTTGGATCTCCAATATTCTTTAAATGACAACTATAGCATCTTAAACTTCATGCTCATTGACCACGATTACAACTCCCTGGGCATTTGAAATTAGTAAGCCTGGTATTAAATATTTCTGGGAAATGGTTCCACTCTGAGAAGGCTTTTTCTGTACCCTCTGACGAGGATATTCCTGTATTCTTTGCCACTTTGCTGCTGACACAAGTTAGACACAGCCTTCAGTATGACTCAAAGCATCCACCTGATCCCAGGCACCCATCCCATTGTGACATGACAGAAGCCTAGCAATTGAAATGAACGTCTCCCTGCTGCTTAGCAGGAAAGAACTGGAGAGAGGCAGTACTAAAGCAGCTGACAATACATGCAAAACATATTGAACAGTCAATATCTTCTACTCACATGTAGAATCGTTCCTGGGTGGGATTACTAGGGAAGAGATGAGAGGGAGTGCATGTAAGTTTAAATCTGCAACAAAAGAGATGATGCAGAAGAAGATGAGCAAGATGGGATGGGAATAATTATTCAGGCAGAACGGTGAAAATGTAATACGAAAGCCACAGGAATCTGTTGAGGTTGAAGTGGAAAATGTGAAAGAACTGAATTAGTTACGTTATAGGAAAGGGCCCCAATCCAGACATTAGAGGTACCTTGTACCCCCAGAAAAGCAAATCTACTTAGTCTTTGATTAGCACCTCTAACCACAGTGGAATAACTGTGGATTTAATTTTAGGTTTAATCTATAACTTCAAGAAAAGTTTTTATTTTGAATTTTTACTCCATAAATATTATTAATAATCATTTTTTAAAACAGTACCAACCCTGCCCAAACCAATTCTCCACTGATGCTGGCACACAGGACACTGTATGTAGTAGACATTTACTCATTGGTTTTTAAAAATAAAAAAATTTAAATATCAGGCTACATATGTGTCCAATTTTCCAGGAAAAAAAATTCCTACTGGTTTATAAACTGAGAAACAATCATGGTGATGACATTTCCTACCCATCAACGCAAAGTAGCAGCCAACACTGTTGTGAACCAATTCATTGTCCATTGATGTAGCAATTTTCACAATACAGAATCCTGTGGAAATCTGGAACTGATTCCCAGGGAGAACCACCTATGACTCCTTATGCAACTCTAAAACAAGCTGCAAAGGACACCATTAAGGACGAGGAAAGTCTTCCTCTGTTTGGGGATGAGATTTACTTATCCTGAGGTTTCAATCTGCTTCCAGCAGAAAATAGCAGCCAGCAGTGTTGTTGACTAGCTAATTGTCCGTATGCAAGTTCTTCCTGCTATAGCACTTTCATAGGCGTTTCTGAGGGACCACACCCATATTGAATGAATAACTCAGGACTACATTTTGCCCCGTGGTGAATGCATGGTAGCAATTCTGGTTCTGTAGTCCCACAAAACTCAGCAACAAAGACTGCCGACAGAAATCCTCTCCGGTCTCAAGCATAGTTTCAGGGGCCATATTTTCCCCATGAATAAACCCACAGAGGGCTCTCTCTCTTTGGAGCTTCCAGAGAATTGTACTTTTTTATTCTATTTCACTTGAAATGGAATTTCACTCTTCTCAGTTCTTCAAGGACAGGTGCCACAGTATAGGTTTTCCACCCACAATGGTTGGCGGGGGCCGACTTACAATGTACTCATTGTGATTACTCAATGATGCTAAGACTTACATGCCATGCCCCCCTTCAGCATCTCTTTCTCAGCCCATTCTGGGAAAAGAAATGCTTGCTAGATGCTAGATAAGTCTCTCTTTACTGTTTCTGTCAGATATCATTCACTGGGGGACAGTAATGTGCCTTATGGAGATATGGTGAATTGCCTGTTTCATGGCACTAATCTGAAAGCATCCTTGAATTCCATTCATCAGCGTGACTGCCAGACAGCTCTTCAAATCATGTAAGAAAAAGAGAAAAAATGGGATTCTTATCTGGGAAGTGCCATACTGTAAAATTATGAACATGATGTGCTCACTGACCAATGGGTAGGTGGATTATGTTAACATAGGAAAAGCAGAAAATAGATTTGTTGGAAGGAAAAAAATCACTTTATTTATTAAATTTGCCCCCTTTTATGCTTCCTACTTTTTTAATAGATTTTTTTCCACTTCTGTTAATGGGCTAATTGGTTTTACTCCAAACAAAATTGTAAAGCAGTTGAATTTCTCTCTGTCACTCACCTCTTTCCACCTACTCACTCTCACTGCTCAGAGACGTCACTTGTCCACAGCATGTTCTTGTGGTTCTCCACCTTTATCTGTCTTGCTCCGAGCTAAATATCGCTTAAGGGAAGAATCTGATACTTTTCACTCACATTGAGTGTAAAAACTCCACTAGATTGTGAGCTCCATGAGGGCAGAGGTTTTTGTATGTGTGTACGTGGGTGGGGGTGAGGTTGCTTTGTTTTATTCATCAGCTCATTGCAAACACCTAGAACAGTGCCTGGTGCATTGTATGTAATAAATACCTGTAGCCGAATGATAAGGCTCAATGCTTTTCCTGACCCAGAGGTAAATGCACTTATATATATTTTATTATATATTATCAGGTGTGTATCAGAGAGAGAAAAGGAGAGGGGTCACTTATGCTATTTCTTGACCACCTGGAATCAGACACGTCTGAAATATCCCCTAGACACAGAGTCACCATACAACTGCATAGGATATGTATGGCACAGCCTGAACGATCATTCATGACGGTCCTGTGTATATGAGCCAATAAATTGCCTTTTCCTCTTTTTCCTTGACAATATGTAAAGTTCTATGTGTGCCTAAAAACTGAGGTCAGTGTCAGTAGCATGGCTCACTCCAAGTTCAAAGTAGCATGACTCAGTCTAAGTTCAATGGCCTCAGACTTAGGAAAGCCCATGGTATAACTCTCAGTCTGGGGCTGAAGGCCTGAGAACTCGGGGGCCACTGGTGCAAGTCCTGGAGTCCAAATGCCAGAGAACCTGGAGTTCTGATGTCTAAGGGCAGAGGAAGAAGGGTGTCTCACCTACACAAGAGAGAAGAGGGTTGGAGGGAGAATGCAGGCACACAAACTAACCTTTCCTCTGCCTTTTTGTTCTATGTAGGCTCTTGGCCAATTAGATGGTGCCTTCCCACATTGGGTAAGGGCATATCTTACAGACCACAGATTCAAATGCCAACCTTCTGGAAATACTCAGAAATAATGCTTTACTAGCTATCTGGGTATCCCTTAATCCAGTTAAGTTGACATCTAAAATTAATCATCACAATCAGTCATCTGAGCTATTTGTTTACCCTAGGGAGAGACAGAGAATGGAAGAGACAAAAAGCAATATTATCTGTCTCATGAACCCGACCTAATTCCTTTCATTCTTAGTCTAATCCCCCTAAGAACATTATCTTCATCTCTGAAAATTCCAAAACCCAAATCTCAGTTCCTGTTCCACAAAAATACCACCCAATTGGACTTTCTAAAATTCTTTCTATTTTAATGAGTGGAGAAAGTAAACTGCTAAGGTTATTCTTCTTAATTTTGGAGTGAGGAACCATGGCTTGTTTATGTCAGCATCTTTTCCACCACTTAGTGCCATATCTGTAACAGAAACTCAATAAATACCTGACAGACAAATGAAAACACTTTCCACTCAGTTACATGGCCTCTGGAACAACCGGAGATTTCTTGAAACATTTTAACAATCATTCCCATTTTTCTTATTTTTACAGCCTTAACATATTTGTTCATCATAAAGGCAGCTAACACTGGGGAGTCTAAGCCCTAACATGCTACACAACAAAAATGATCTCTCTCTGCCAAATATAGAAGCGACTCAGAATCAGAGGTTTGCAGTTACAAACCAATACAAGCCTCTTGGTGCTGAAATGCATTTACACTTGGCAAATCACTGCTTCTTGTTTGTAGAATAAAAGTCTCTTTAAAAGGCTAAAAAAGCTTCTTTGACATCAACTAACTTGTATAAAATATCGTTTTGATTATTTAAATTTAAATAAATCAAAAACACATGGTTTAAATTTCCCTTAAAATACATATGATTTTTAAAATGAGAGAAAAAGGTGCTTGGCAAAAAGCAGTGTGGGTTTTATTGAACCCAAAACTTTTCAAAAACAGTTTAAGCTTCTTGGTGAGCCCAAACTATGGTTATTTAAAATATGATTTTTTAAAAAATGAAGGCCAAAAAAGATATTTAATAAAAATACTCAAATTTTAACTTTCTATAAAATATTACTAATGAACAGTTTGACTTTAAAAGAGTTCATATACTTCACTTAATGGATTCTACAGACTTATACAATTCTTTGGAATTGTGACTCAAGAAAACTGCATATGGCCTAATACCTCCAGACCTGGGTTTGTTAGTGAGCTATAGATTATCTTCAGCCTCTTCAAAGCATAGTGACATGCATTATTGTTGGAAATGTTCCCAGATAGTCTTGACATGTTATGAAATTGCCTGTAAGGAGCTATTAGTTGCTACGTTTCGTTGTCTTCTATCACATTTGTTTTCAAAGAATACATTTAATTAATCTAAATTGCTCAGCTGGTACCAGTTTTCTTATCTTTCCTCACCTCTCCCTTTCCTATCTTGTTTTTTCCCACCTATATAGCTCAGAATACATTCTCTAGGTATATATGTTAATTGCACAGATTTATCATTGCTTGAGGAGACAAATGCATTCATTTGTCCAGGCATAATTAATTAAATATGTACTCTTTTCAGTGCTGGGCTAGGCCTATTGGTTATACAAAGATATGTACAGCCATTCCATTCCTTACAGGGCTTACTCAGTAAAATCTGAATGTACCACAGGCTCTCGAAAGTGGCAAAAAAAAAAAGTTAATCTGAAAGGATTCTCAGAGTGCTGGTCTTTTTCTCCTACAACAGTATCCTCTCCTTTACTTTGCCCTGCTTTTCCTCCTCCCAGTTAAGGTTACTGTTGATGAAAAAAGAAGCCTTTTTTTCTTTGAGACACATACTCCTAGATGCAGCTAACACAAGCCTCATTTTGCAGACAGCATCACTATATATCACTATTTATGTGTACATATATAACTATATGTGTGCATATATACATCACTATATGTTGTATGTATGTGCATATTATCTATGTGTGAGTGTGTGTGTGTGTTGGCTTAGCTTAAATTATGCTTCAATAACAACACAAAAATCTCAGCGCTATCAAAAAACAAACAAGCAAACAGAAAACACCTGTTACTGGCCACCTGTGACTCTGAACCCTATTGTCTTCATTCGGAGACCCCAAATGAAGGAATAGTCCTCACCTGGTATGTTACATAGTCTTGTGGAAGAGGGAAAAGAGAGGACAGTGCCACATGATGGCTGTGCTCACAAATGGCTCTCACATCATTTTCATCCTTGTTTCATTGCCCGAAGTAAGTCACCAGGCCAAGCTTGACATCAACCTACATAGAGGGGGGATATTTTGAATAATGATATATCTGCCATGCCATATGGAGATCCAGTTATGATGTCAGAGTAAAAATTTGATCGATGGCTTATCTTGATCTATTCATTAAATAGTTGGCTAATATACATCTAAAATTTATATGAAAATCTCCTTTCAAGGTTAACTGAATGTAGTGCTATTGAGCTGTTTCCTGGACACATTTGTGTAGGGAAGGATTTCCTCTTGGGCAGCTGCTTTCCCACTATTATCTTAGTTGTTCTATAACAATGTTATAGATGTTGCTGTGTGAGATTTTCTATTTGTCGTTTACAGTACCTTATCTTAGCACCAATTTTTCTCTTAAGAAGCTAACATTTAATTAATGAAGAGTCAACAAAACCCTAGACTCAAAAAAATTCTGCTTTCCCATCTTGCTAATTTAAATTTCCTCCTTGAGAATCATTACACCCAAACTGAACCTGATGTTTATATAATTTTTTAGATAATTCTATGAGGTTCTTTTTCTAAAGCACTGAAAAATATTCTTATTTTCCTTTTCCCATAACTCAACAAGGCTTAACTGATTTTGTTCATTTGCTTTGAAAAAAAAATCATTATTTGGCTTAAACCAAGCATGGAAAATTTTAGCCCCAAAGGAACATTTTGGAAGACAGTTGTATAAACAAAAGAAAAAAGGAATTGGATTAGAAAGGCTTTCTCACATTTAACTACAACAATGCCAGCTAATTTAGGGCCATGAAATAAATATAGAGAATATTATTATAGTTTGTTTCTACTGATAATAATAATAATAATAGCTAGCAATATATGTAATGGTAATAATAATAAAGTAGCTAACTTTTATTTCACACTTACTATGTGCCAATATTGGGCATGCTATATCATTTAATCCTCAAATCAATCATATGAGGTAGGTACCATTATCCCTTCTTTACCAAAAAAATACCAAATAAAACAAAAACTAAGGGTATTGAAAGTTAACAAATGCAACCAAGATCACAGAGTTAGTAAATGGCTGAATAGGTCTAACTAATGCTATAATCTAAAACCAAACACATCCCAGTAGTTTTCACATGTGATCCCTAGAGCAGTAGCTCCACCATCAATACCTGGGATCTTGAAAGAAATCCACATTCTCAGGCCCCCAATTGACCTCGCCATCAGGAATGCTAGGGGTTGGGGCGAAGCAATCTGTGTTTTAACAAGATACGCCTTCCAGATAATTTTGAAAGTTTGAAAATTATTGCATGATCCCATGCTACTCCAATAATACTTTTTTACAAAACCTTTTGTCTATCTTCTTTTTTTTCTACTTTTTTATTGAAGTATATATCTAGTAAAGAATATAAAGTATACTATCTCCTGATTTTCACATATCTAGAAATTTTTATTTGCTTGCCAGTTATTGTGGATGTTATGTTGCTTAGTGTTGGACTTTGTTGTCTTTCTTTAAAGAGTGTTGGATTAGTTCTGATAGTCTAAGTTATTTGCATTGTACTTTGATCCTTAGGAAACTTGTTTTTAAGAACTCTTAGAGTGGATCTAGAGTTGCCACTACTATATATACTATATGGATAATTTAGCCACAAAAAAAAAATGTGGCCCTTCTGCAAGTTCTACTGAATGTCCTGATCAACCAATGAGGAATCTCTGATTTGGTTGGTGAGAACTGAAACAATACAATCCCTGTATGAATTCTGAGCAGTTTAGCTCATGGATCTATTGCTCTTTTCCTGAGCTCAGACAGTTGAATTTTGTGGGTGCAGGTTTTAGTATTCTGCAAAAACATAAGAGTAACCCTATGGTGATTTCTGAAACTTTTTTTTCTGTTTAGCTGCCTCTTCTCTGGAACTCTTCCCTGCAACTTCCTTCCAACCACCTCATACTCCCTTAACTCTCATCTCTGTCTCTTCAACTCAACAAGGCTGCTGTGCTCTCTCTCACATCTTTCCTCTTGTTCTGCAATTCAGAATGTGGCCCAAAGCAGTCAGTTGAGGTGATTAGTTTACTTATTTTCCTTCTCTTGGGACTACAGTTCTGCACTACCTATTGTCTGTTGCCTGAAGGAAAAAGTTGTTTATGTACTTTGTCCAGTTTTTCACGTGCTTTAGGTGAAAAAGTAAATCTAGTCCCTGTTGATTCCATCATGGCCAGTAGTAAAATTTCACCACAAATTTTAAAAATTGACAAATTGATTCTAAAATTTATTGTAAATGCAAAATATTTATTGTAAATGCAAAAATATAGAGTAGTCAATATAATTTTGAAAAAGAAGAACAAAGTTGGAGGACTTATACTACCTCATTTCAAAATATACTATGAAGCTACAATGTGATATTAGTGTAAGAATTGATTATGTACTCTCAATGGGAGTGATATTACTCCCAAGGAAATTGGTCTTGGAGGGAAAAAAACCCTTTCTTATTCTTTTCATGGTACAAGACATATATACACATATGGTACATAAACAGATATATATATATATATGATATTAAAAATGTTATCTAATATTAAAATCCATGGGAGAAATGGAATAAAGACAGAATTCTCAACAAGTGTTGCTGGGAAAATTGAATATCCACATGCTAAAGAGTGAAGTTGGCTCCTTACATAACACTATATACAAAAATTAACTCAAAATATATCCATGACTTAAATGTAAGACCTAAGCCGGGCGCGTGTGGCTCACGCCTGTAATCCTAGCTCTCTGGGAGGCTGAGGCGGGCGGATTGCTCAAGGTCAGGAGTTCGAAACCAGCCTGAGCAAGAGCGAGACCCCATCTCTACTATAAATACAAAGAAATTAATTGGCCAACTGATATATATATAAAAAATTAGCCGGGCATGGTGGCACATGCCTGTAGTCCCAGCTACTTGGGAGGCTGAGGCAGAAGGATCGCTTGAGCCCAGGAGTTTGAGGTTGCTGTGAGCTAGGCTGACGCCACGGCACTCACTCTAGCCTGGACAACAAAGCGAGACTCTGTCTCAAAAAAAAACAAAACAAAAAAAAAATGTAAGACCTAAAACTATAAAATTCATATAAGAAAATATAGGAAAAACATAGGAAAAAACTTCACGACATAGAATCTGGCAATCTTGTATATGACACCAAAGGGACAGGCAACAAAAGAAAAAAAATAGACAAACTAGACTTCATGAAAATTAAAAAAATTTATGTATCATAGACATTATCAACAGAGTAAAAAGACAATTCATAGAGTGGGAGAAAATATTTGTAAATCATACATCTGATAAAAGATAAGTATCCAACATATACAACAAAAAACAACTCTTCAAAAAATGGGCAAAGAACTTAAAAAGATATGTCTCTAAAGAAGATATACGAATGAGCAATAATCATGAGAAAAGACACTAAACATATAATCATTGGGAAATGCAAATCAAAACTATAATGAGATACCATCTCACATCCATTAGCATGGCTACTATTAAAAAAATGGAAAATAGCAAGTGTGGGCAAGGATGTAGAAAAATTGGAACCACTGTACACTGTTGATGGGAATGTAAAATGGTATAGCTACTGTGGAAAACATTATGGCTGTTCCTCAAAATATTTAAAATAAAATAAAATTACCAGCCAGTCATGATGGCATGTGCCTGTAGTCCCAGCTACTCAGGAGGCTGAGGTGGGAGGATCACTTGAGCCCAGGAGTTTCAGGCTGTAGTAAGCTGTGATCATGCCTGTGAATAACCACTGCACTCCAACTTAGACAACATAGCAAGACCTGGCCTCTAAAAAAAGAATGTCATCTAGCAATTCCACTTCTACTTCTGAGTATATGCTCAAAAGAATTGAAAGCAGGGTCTTGAAGAGATATTTGTACACCCATGTGCATAGTAGCATTATTCATCATAGCTAAAATGTGGAAGCAAATCATTTGTCCATCAACAGATGAATGGATAAACAAAATGTGATCTATATATACAATGGAATATTATTCCATTTCAAGAAGGGAGGAAATTCTGACATATGCTACCATATGGATAAACCTTGAGGACGTTATGCTAAGTGAAACAAGCCAATCACAAAAAGGCAAATACTATATAATTCCACTTGTATGAAGTAGTTGGAGTAATCAAAATCATAGCATCAGAAAGCAGAATGGCTGTTGCCAGGGACTAGGGGAGAGGGGGGGATAATGAGTAGTTACTGTTTAATGGGTATAGAGTTTTAATTTTGCAAGATGAAAAGAGTTCCGGATGCGAATGGTGGTGATTGTTGCATAACAGTATGAATGTACTGTACACTTCAAAATGGTTAAGATAGTAAATTTTATGTTGTGTGTTTTACCACAATAAAATACTGGGGAAAAAAAGTTCATGGAGAGAAGGGGCAATTAGAAATAAACATGTCTAGAAAGGCTCCTTATGGGGATGATAATAAAAGAGGTTGAGAAATACTAGAATAGACAACTAGATAAATGCAACAGAAGAGAGAATCCAGAAATAGACCCACACATAGCAGTGAATTGAGTTTTTTCAAGCCACTAATGAGGAAAATCTTTTTAATAAATAGTGATGTCACAACTGAATATTCAAAGGGAAAAAATAAATTTCCACTTCTATCTTACTCACAAAAATACATTCACAATGGATCATGATTCGAGTATAAAACCTCCCAAAGCTTCTCTGAGAAAACACTGGAGAATATCTTCACAAACTTGAGAAGAGAAAAACAAAGATTTGTTTTAGAACTCAAAGGACTAACCATAAAAGAAAATATTGATAAATTAAACATTTCATCTCCTCAAAAGACACCACTAACGAAGTGAATAAGCAAGCCACAGACTGAAAAAAAAATGTTTACAATAGATATATCTGATGAAGGAGTCATATCCAAATATACAAAGAGCTCCTAGAAAAATATCAATGAAAAGAATGACAATTTAAAAATGAGCAAATGACTTGAAAAGTTACTTCATTAAAAGGCAAATATATAGCTAGTAAGCACAAGAAAAGGTGCTCAATATCATCACTCATTAATTCTTAAATTAAAACAATTTGTTTTAAATCAAAGTGTTAAAATGAAAACAATTGATAGTACCAAATGTAGGCAAGTACATGGAGAAACCAAGACTCTCTTATATTGATGGTGGAAGTGGAAAATAGAACAACCTTTCTGGAAAACTGTCAGTTACTTACAAAGTTAAATACACATTTACACTATGACCCAGCAATTTCACTTTTTAGGTATTTACCCAAGAACAATGAATACGAACGTCTACCTACCCCTTGGGGACATTTGGTATTGTCTGAAAACATTTTTTTTCTTGTTATAACTGGAGGATGCTACTGGTATCTAGTAGGTAGAACCCCAGGATGCTGCTAAACACCTTACAATACACAAGACAGCCCCCTCTCCCAAGAAAGAATTTTTTATTTCACAAGTCAATAGTGCTGAGGTTGGGAAACTCTAAGGTACACAAAAACATGTAAATGAATGTTCTCAGTTGACTTATTCACAGTAGCCCTCAAACAGAAAATGTCAAATATCCATCAATGGGTGACTAGATAAACAAATCGTGGCATATTCATACAATAGAATAGTAATTGGCAAGAAGAAGAAGCCAGCTACTAAAATATACAACAGTATGGATGCATTTCAAAAACATCTTGCAGTGAAACACATCTGTTTTATTCCATTTATATGAATGTTTAGGAAAGACAAAAGTGAGAGCAGACCAGTGGTTTCCTGGAACTAGAAGCAGAGAGTAGTGATTGGTTGCAAAGGGGCAGGAGGGAACTTTCTGGAATAATGGAAATGTTTTATGCTTTGATTGTAGTGGTGGATACTCTAGAGCATACTATGTCAAGATTTATTTATCTACACTCAAAATGTATACATCTCATTGTATATTAATGTTGTCTTAATAACATTTTTTAAAGGCTCCTGGGACTACACTGTATTTGTAGATAACTTTGGAAAGAATGGGTATCTCAAAAATATAGTGTTGTAATCCATGAGGATGGTTTATCTCCCCATTTATTTAGTTACTCTTTAATTTCTCTCAGCGAAGTTTTGTCATTTTTAGAGAAGTTTTACATATCTTTGTTAGCTTTTCTAGATATTTTATGTTTTAAGCTGCTTTCATAAATGGTGCCTTTAAAATTTCATTTTCAGACCGCTTGTTGCTATGTCTGTTTGATTTTAACTTATATTAATAATTCTGTGGAGAATGTCTGATATGAGAAAAAAAGTTTTAAATAGGTATAACAGTGCCATTTCCAAACCATGGATAACGACATCTGATTTTATTCAGAAGATGTGTTTCAGCAAGCAAGACGCATCTATTTTCTACAATGTCTGCTAGGTTTTCAGTTCATTTACCACCAGTGTGTATTAGGCCACACAACACATGGCACCCTTGGAGTTTTCCTGCTTATATCTCTTTTCAAGAAACAGCTTCCTATTCATCTCTACAGAGTGCAGTTCTTTTAACAGCTTATATCAGCAGAGCCTCTACATACTCTTCAGCTTTCCAGCTGAGGCAGCAGTCTTCCTGGGAAATCATCAGCCAAGGACTGAGTATGGCAGGATACAAAGGCCTGGCCGCTTTTGCCCAGTAGGGACTCAGGGACTCCTCTAGCCAGTCATCTTTGCTCTGGAGCTCCCTGCTGAGTTGGCCAGGATTCTTGGATGTCTATCACAGTCTGCAGCTCTTGCTGCTGAATCGTGCTTTCCCAGGGCCCTATCTTTTGCAAGAGGTCAGAACCACAATTCAGGCTGCAGGCTTTCCCTAGCCAATTCTGCTTCCTCCTTCCTTCATCTTTCACAAGCACGCCTCCTCCATTCCTGTGCTCCCAGTTAGCCACATGTATCCTACTCCCCCTCAGCACCTTCTTCTTGGAGGACACAACTGACAACTTTACAATACATTGGAAGAAACGGTAGTCTTTTCCTCAGTGACCCTGGCTGTCATGCCCACCAATTTTTAACATTTCTCTCACACTTGGAAGTGGCCTTTCTCTCCTTTTGAAAGTGAAATCTCTCCTCTTTCTTAAGTATTTGTATCCACCCATGGCCATTCCTACCTCTGTTCTGAGGGTTCCTGTGTGAGATTCTGCCTCTTTTTCCAGCTGGGCATTCTGAAGGATCTTTATACATGAATTGCAAATCTCATCCAATGTGTTTGTCTTGCACATTGGATCCTTAGCTTTCTTCCCAAAGACTACATTATATTAATAGTTCACCCACAAGTCAATATACTGCTGCAAAGCCCCCAAATTAATATATCTATCCATCATGCTTCAAACCACTCTCTTATTGGCTGGGAGCACTTTTGAGTTTTTAATCTCTCATCGTTGGAAGGCTTTATAAAAAAACAAAAAAACACTGCCAATTCTTTATGCTTGGTTTGAGTTGCAAGGCTGAGATTAGGAAAGAAAAAAAACCACTATTTTTCTTTTCAAAAGTTCTTTCTTTAATGGAATATGTTGTTTAAAGGCTTTTGTCCAAGTCTCTGGGGTCTATAGCAGTAAAGGATTTCTGGATTTCTCATCTCTCACTGGTTTTCTGAAAATGCCGAGACATATAGTGGTTCTTATTTAGATTCTAACAACATTGCCATGCTCTCCTTCCATTCCTGTGTGGTCTTTTTAGGAAAGGGTAATTGCCCTGTGGCTTCCCCATTACCATTCATTCATCCAACAAATATTTATTCAATGCTTATCGTGTGCCAGGCATTTTAATGCATATTTTATTTTATTAGACAAAATAAAACTGAAGAGCAAAATTAAAGCAAAGCAGAATTGTTGTATAAATTTGAAAACTTGGAATAAAAGAGATTTTTTTGTTTTGTTTTATAGCAATGGGTCAACAGGAGGTTGTGTAAAGTGGGTGGTAGGGAAACAGAGTAGTAGTAGACTTAGATAACCTGTTGTTCTAATAATGTTTTGCATATGATAGAAGTATCTATACCAAGTTGCATCTTAAACTCCAAATTGAGCTTCTGCTATGCACACCCCAAGCCTCCTTCTTCTCAAAATCCCCCATTTTAGTAAATCTCAATCCTATTCTTTCAGTGCTAAGGTAAAAATCCTTGAAGTTTTCCTCAACTCCTTTGTTTTACACTCATTTTCAGTCCATCAGAAAATCCTATTGATTCTACCTTTACAAAATATCCAGAATACAACCACTGCTCATCTTATTTCTCACTATAGTCCAAACCGCCCTCATTGCTCACCTGTGTTGCTGCAATATTCTTCTGTGTTAGTCAGGATTCTCCAGAGAGACAGAACCAATAGGATATATTGTAGACATATGAGAGGGATTTATTCGGGGATTGGCTCACAGGATTATGGAGGCTGAGAAATCCCTCTAGAAGCCATCTGCAAACTAGAGAACCACAGGAGCAGCAGTGCAGCTCGGTCCAAGTTCAAAGGCCTCAGAACCAGGGAAGCCCATGGTATAATTCTCAGTCCACAGTCACAGACCTGAGAACAGGGAGGCCATGGGGGTAAGTTCCAGAGTCCAAGGGTCAGAGAACCTGGAGTTCTGATGTCCAAGGGCAGGAGAAAGATGTCCCAGCTCCAAGAGAGAGAGAGTAAAAAAAGAAAAAGAAAGAAAGAGAATATTTGCCTTTCCTTTGCCCTTTTGTTCTAATCCCTCAGTGGATTGGATGGTACCTGCCCACGCTGAGGCATCTTCCCCACTCAATCTACCCACTCACATGCCAATCTCTTCTAGAAACACCCTTACAGACCTACCAAGAAATTGTGATTTTTCCAGCTAAGTATCCCTTAATCTAGTCAAGTTGGCACATAAAATTAACCATTACATCTTCTCAGTGGGTTTCTTGCTTCTGCCCCTAATACCTACAATCTATTCCCAGGAGTGCCCAGAGTGCTCCAGCATTACTTTTCTGCTTAAAATCCATCATCTCCCATCTCTGAGTTAAAACCAAAATCAAAGCTCTTCCAATGACCTCCAAGGCCATACATGACCTTCCCTGATTATCTCTTTTTTCTTCTCTCCTCTCCTCTTCTGATACTCTTCTACTCACTCATTTCCTTCTACCACAGTAATCGCCTAGCATATGCCTGCCTCACGGCCTTTGCACCTTTTAGTTCCTCTGCCTGGAATTCTCGTCCATCAGACACTTACATGGATTTCTCCCTTAACTCTCAAGCTTTACTCAGATTTCACCTTATGAAATTCAGCCACCCTGTCTGAACCTGCACACACCTCACACCTCCACATCGGCCCCCACACCTTCCCACCACTCTCACACATACATAATTCTAACTTTGTTTCTTTTTTAATTTTTCTCTTTAGAACTGATATCTAACTAAAATCCTATATATTTTACTAATTTATTTCATTTACTAATCAATAACATTGTAAGCTTCATGTAAGTATGAATTTTTATCTTGGTTCAGTCCTACATGTCCGGCACCTAGAACAGTTTTTAGCACAAAAATATTTATTGAGTAAATGTATATAAAATATTAGCAAAATTCCAGAGTGGAATGTGCTTTGCTTTTTTTATTGTTGCATTTCAAATCCAAAATTATCTTTTTGATTTTGTTTTTAAACAAAATCAAAATCAATGCTTCAGCTCATATGCCTATTACCTTAATTTATACATCTATCTTTTAAAGGATCTCACTTCAACTGTATATTAATATTATAGTTAGAAGTCCTACTTTTAAATGTCTGTATAGAAGAAGAGTTCACAATTCTCTTAGTAACCAATATTTAATTATCATTACCAAAACCTTTCTTTATTCCAGCACATCTAAGATGTTTAGGCTTCTGTTTAAATCCATTTCTTCATGTCTGTCTTCAGTGAAAATGGGTATAATTGGTAACTGTGTGAATTGTTCTCTTCTTCAAATTGGATATTTCCAGTTTCCCTAACTTTTCCTGCAAGATTGGGTTTACCAACTGTTTATTCAGCAACTCGGGGCTGTTCTGTCAATCACACTCAAGATCTGTATCCTTTTTGGTGAGAAATTCTCTGTTGGATAAAAGCTTTGATAATTCAAAGACCACTTCAGTGAGACAAATGGAGAAAAACTCACACAAAAACAACAAAGGAGATTCCTACCCCACCCATTCTTATTTGCCATCACAAAATTGCCTCATAATGTGAAGTTTGTTTTATATGAGAAACAAAATTTGAAAGTCATGCCAAAGGAACACTCACAAATATCATATAACAGCTCCATCTACACGCCATTACTACCCCGCCTAAGGCCACATCCTCTCCTGACCTGACTTCTGTAGGAGCTACCTTAATAGTCTCCTTGACCCACTATAACCACTTCAAGTTCTCCACACTGATCCACAATTATCTCAGAAAAATATTTAGATTGCTCACTGTGGCCTAGGAGGCCTCAGCCTCCTTGTCTAGCCTAACTCATCACCTACTACTCCCAGGCCTCATAATTTAGATTCTGCTTACTGAACTCCCTGGAGTTTTCCAAGTACACTACAACCTCATAAGTCCTTGTTTCTGTTTATGACGTCTCCTTTGCCTAGACTATCTTCTCCCAACTTATCTACCTAACTCCTAATCATCTCTTTGGGGGAGGGAGGCTGGGAGTGGTTTCTTTGAAGGGACTCATTATAGACTATCCTCTTCCCTATCTCAGTTCTGAGTAAATTGAAAAAATGAGAGATCAAAATGTTACTTGGATCATGGCTAGTGCCCAGACAGAAGAAGGTCATGGCTTTAGGTCTATGAACCCAGTGTGGACACTTTCTATTAGAAATCCCCGAAGCTGGGCAGGTCACCAGCCCACTGCAGCAGCATTGTGTGGGAATCAGCCTTCCTTGACAACTGAGTGGATCTGGAAAACCTGCATAAGCATCCTGCAGGCAGCGGATGCCAAGAGGAGGGAGAAAGAAACTGAACGTGGAAAGCCCAGTGATCTTTTGCAAACTTACCGACTCGGCAAATCATTTTTATTTTCACTGGGATACAGTGAGTAAAGGGGCAGAGAGAGGCCAGGAATATGTTTTTAAAAATCCTTCCATATGGACACCAGAAAAAGACAGTCCAACATTCTTCAGGCCTCACTCTATTGCTTGCTCCTTTGCTTATATTCTTGTATTGCCTGTATTCTTCCCTGACTTTTGCTAAAAGAGTTAGAGGCTCTTTTCCCAGTCAGTGGCTTTCAACAGAGGGTGATTTTCTTCCCCCAGGGAACACTTGGCAATGTCTGGTGACCTTTTTGCATGTCTCAACGGTGAGAGGCTGTGCTCCTGGTATCTAGTGGGTGGAGGCCAGGGATGCTGCTAAAACTTCTACAGTGCACAGAACAGCTCCCACAGTAATCATCTGGCTCAACATGTTAATGGTACTAAGGCTGAGAAACCTCACCTTAGGCATACAGTGCCCCCAATTTATACTCTCCCACCTTTACCTCTTTAAAGTTCCAAAAGGCAGGGATTGTGTATTTCAATTTTGGATTTCTAGTACCCAGTAGATGAGCTATACACATTTGTTCAAAGATTTAATGAGGCCAGGCGCAGTGGCTCATGCCTATAATAGTAGCACTTTGCGAGGCGGAGATGGGAAGATTGCTTGAGCTCAGGAGGACACCAACCTGAACAAGAGCAAGAACCATCTTTGCTAAAAACAGAAAAATTAGCCAAGTGCCTATAATCCCAGCTACTTGGGAGGCTGAGGCAAGAGCATCACTTGAGCCCAGGAGTTTGACGCTGCATTCTACACAGGGTGACAGAGCAAGACTCTGTAAAAAAAAAAAAAAATAGATTTAATGATTGAATGAATGAGTTGGGTCATAAACATTAAAACTGCAGAAACCAGTCACCCAGCCCTCTGGATGACATAGAGATCTTTTACACCTAGGGCTGCTAATTTAGAGGTTGAATTCATGAAATCTATGAACTTCTAAAATTCCATGTAAAATGATGTATGTTCGTATTTTTGTTTCCTGAGTAGAGAGCCTAGGTTTTTTTTTTTTTTATCAGATTCTCAAAGAAGTCTATTACTCCAGTAATGCTAAAAACCACATTTAAGACACCAAGTAAAAATGATACCTTGAGAATTAGAGCATCAGCCCCTCTTTGTAGGAAAGGTCTGGCCACACCCATCTGTTATTACCTTGTGGCTGTAACTCATTAAGCCAAATTTAAGAACCACAAGTGTTTGTTATTATGCCCAGAGCTTCCTACTTTTGACTTTCTTACTGTCCTGTTACCCCTCATGACCCTTAGGTCACATTTGCAATGTTGACACATAGGTAGCCTTCAAATATAGTATTCTGATCATTTTCTTAATCAAGCTCACTCTATTTTGTTTTGAATTATGCATTTAATTGGCCAGGACCACATTATCTTTTAATAAGGACCTTAGAAATTGTCTGCCCACTATAGTCATCTTACAGATGACAAAACAGAAGCCCAAAAGGATTGAGTCAATTGCTCAACATTCGAGAACTGCGAAGGGGATAAGAACAGGTCTTTTGTTTCCTAGTTTAGCATTTTTTAAAACACATATGCTAATGTTTTAAGTATTATGACTTCCTGCTTATTGTCCATATGTCATCATGCTTCTTAAGAAATTGTAGCTCTTATATATAATGAAACTATCTTTTCTATCTTGTGACTTAATCATAGCAAAAGAAAGAAAGAAGAAAGAAGGAACGGAGGAAGGGAGGAAGGAAGTGAAGGAGGGAAGAAAAAGCAAACAACATGATAGACCACAATGACTGAGTAATGACTACCTTGGAAACAGATGCCAAGAGTTCTTTGCAAAATACACCTTAACCCATAGTTCTCGGAAAAATAAGGGCCATTGAAGATGTTCTCTTCTCTGGTAGGTGAAAACAGAACCTAAAATCACAACAGGTCCCCAGGGCTGACTGTGTGTCAAGGTCTGGCCAGTAAGCAAGTGCATCAGAAGGGGAGTAGAACCTTGTCTACCACCAAGAGAAGGCATGTCTCACCACATCACCCACTTTCTACCTGGTGTTAACCCTTGCAATTCAGAATCTGCTTCTGTGCCCTGTTACAGATGTATACTAAGGATTCCCTGTGAAAAAGAGGAAACATCTCTTAAATCTTGTTTCCTTTCATTACTTTGGCCATTTAGCTGTGTAATTCTCAGTTAAATACTGTCCATCTTTAAAAGATGGTTTCCTCATCTGAAAATAGGTAACAATAATGGCAATTGCCTTCTAAGGAACATGGGAGATGCTTAGCTATTGCATGGAACCTAGTAAGCTCTTAATAAATATTAACTATTAACATTTGAGTATTTTTAATGAGACTGTTTTGGAGAGTTGCAATACTCTAGCTAACCATTATATTTTTTTACTTTTGTGGGAAGTTAATAAATTCTGCTTGGTAACTGCGCTTTCTCTTTCAATAATTTAGATGAAACATCTTCTTGACACTTCAGATGAGAATTTTGCCATTCAGCAAGAGGAGAAGTTTGGAGTTTAATTTCATGGTAGCAATCCACTAATCAAAATTGCTGCTTAATTGCCTGATTCTCCAATTAACCTGTGCAAAAAAGTTTTGATACATGCAGTGGATATGTTTTGATTAAATTAATTGGAATTATATCTTAGTTCT